ATCATAGGCAAGGCTGATGATAATCTGGCAAGGAGCTGGAGAATGAGACTGGGTTAAATACTGCTGCAGACAGGTGAGTGGAATGAGCTTGATTAGTGTTWCTGTGACGGGAGGGGCGAGAGCAATGAGCAGGAGCTGAAGAAACAGAAAGGCTGGGAACAAGACTAAGKTAAACTGGGACATGAGATGAAATAATAAAACTAAACTGGAACTAGATCGGGGCAGACAGTGACAGAATCATAACAAAACTAAATAAACTAAAAACAAATGACAAGACTGAGGAGACAAAAAACAGAACTAAAACTAAGACGGATGAACTAAAAACTATAACAGATCTATAACGATACTTGTTTACAGTCTGCAGTGGTGGGCACYAGTYCCCTAAAGCACAAAAGCACTAATTGTGGACTTAAATTTCTTGTTTGCGCTTTAGGGGTTTTACWAATTTTCTCTAGCTGTGTGCCAATTTGCGCTTTCTAACTTTAAAATTGAGAAGCACTAATTTAAACTTTTCATTGGCTATTCATCATCTCTTCAAGCAGGGGTAGAGAGTCATCTGAAGTTACAGTTCAGAAAAACCCTAAATTCCTAACGATTTTAACATTTTCTTGAACAGTGGGGAGGACTCGTGGAAGTACACTTTATAACTTGTAAAAGTGGGAGAGCAAAAGCTTGACAGACAGACTATTTGAATGGGGCGCAGTGTGTACAGTTTTGCGTAATTACAAAAACTCGGAGGTGCTYGCCCACGTGCCAGGACAGCATGCGGGGCCAACGCACGGGCGGGGACGGCACTATTACGCCACTTATGGTGCATGCGTCCTCGTGACGCATCCACCATGAACCTAACTTAAGCCCTTTAGGTTTAGTCCAGGGTGAGTGCCTGTTTCATAAATATCTGATAAGCCATTTTTGCGTGAAATTGTTTTGTGTTTTATAGCAGAGATTCTTAACCTATGGGCTGCGGCCCAGTATTGGGCTGCAAGCGCCATATTGAGGGCCTCAAAAGAACAACAGTTTTTAACTTTGGGCCGCAGAGGGCCGCGGGACC